TCTGGGGTTCTGAGACTGAGGCAGACTGCCAGTGGCTGCCCAGGCAGGTCCTTTGTTTGAAATACTTCATCCCTTTGCTTGGACATAGGTCACGAGGTGGCCATCGCTCCCTGCTGGCCCTGTACTGACTGGTCTGTTCTCCTGGGAAGAAAAGCCACCAGCCCTTTTGGGGTTTGCCTTCCCACCTGCATCTTGAGTGACAACAGGTCCCCTTTCCTGACCGTTCAAAGAGAGCCTGGGACAGTGGTGATGGGCTAGGGCCGTCTGAGGGCCGAGAGCTGGGCCAGGTAGGGGTGGAGTGCCAGGCCCAGGTGGGGCCCTTGCTGTGCTCTGCTCTGTGGTCCTCGTTCTGCAGGACATCGGGCAGCGTGAGGGGGAACACCTGCCCTACTGGTGTTGGGCTGGGCCGCTGTCCCAAGTCCAGCTCTGGCCTCCAGGGCCTGTCTGGACTTCTGTGAAGGAGTCCCACAGTCACCACAGCCCCCTCTCCAGCAGCACCAGCACAGGGCGGAAGGCCAGACTCCCGGTCAGGCTGGTGCTGTGGCCGTGGTGCAGTGGGCAGGCATGAGCCTGGACTGCAGTGAGGCTGAGCAGGCTGTGGGTGCTGCGGAGTGGGAGAAGATGTGTGAGCCCGGGGTGGCTGGAGCCTCCCCACCTGTGTAGCTGCACCTGGGCCTTGGTTAGGATCCTGCAAATAGGCAAGAGCCATTTCTCTGTGAAAGGGGAGGTCAGGCAAAGGGAGACCCTCCTCCCATAGCACGGGCATTGTGGGCTTTGCCCAGGAATTACATAAGTAACACCAGTGTCTCTACAGGCTCCTCCTGCACCCCTGCTCTGTGTCATCCCCACCTGGGGAGGGTGGGCAGCCACCCTTCTGGGGCCCAGCACTGAGACAAGCCCTTCCTGTTCCTGAAGGCCTGCAAAGCCAGAGCTCAGTGTTCACAGCCCAACTTGAAAAGGGTCTGACCTTTTCTCCTTGGATTCTGCAGAGAGGTGTCACCGTGCAGAGATGAGTGTAGACCTCCGTGCACACCTGCGGGCAGGTGCTGGGCCGAGGGCCCTGTAAGGGACGAGGATGCCGGGGCAGGGGAGGCTGTCCTTGGTTGGCAGTGCGCTAAGGACCCCACATTACGCTGGTGGTCTCTGCTGCTGCGTGTCCTGCAATGAGCCCCCTTCCTGGAGCAGGTCAAGCTGTGGGCTGCATCTTTGTCCAAAAGGTTGTCATTACAGGGCAGATCAAGGCCACAAGGCAGACTGCGCTTAGAGTCGTTCTCAGAAAGTCGCTTGATTCTGATCATGGAATAGCCTTGGACTCGGATGCCGACCCAGCACTGAGTACCTGGACAGGAACCAGTACGGAGGGCTTGCTGCCTGTGAGCCCAGTGTGGAGTGCCGGTCTGAGGGGCTTCTGATCGTGTCTTTCCAGGAGCAGCTCAGGCACTTTTGCAGAGGGTGGGGTAGGCCTCACGGTTGGCATTAAGAGGGGGACCGTGGCTTCCCTTGTCATTGCACTTTGAGAGTGGGTTCCCCTCAGTGGAATCACAGCAGAGAAGAGGTGCTGACCTCTGATAAAGGAATCTTGGAGGTGAAGCCCTCCAGACAGGGTCGCCCAGCTGAGATCCGCCCCCAACTGCACTCCCTTACCATCGCAGTGTGGCCTGTCCAGCTTCCCTCTGCACGGAGAGGCAGTGGTCCCTGCACATGGCACTTCAGCCCGCCAGGAGGCTGCACTGCACCCGACTCGTGCCTCAGGAGCCCAGGTGCAGACACCGGCCCCCACAGGCAGCTGCCCAGGGGAGAGTGCTGGCACCAAGCGGAACAGTCACTGCACTGCCTCAAGGCAGAGCTTTCCAGCAAGGCCAGCTGGGAGTTCAAAACCTAGGACAGAGCAAGGAAAAGCCAGAGCCCTCTGCCAGCATTATTCCTGCTGCCCTGGGCCGGTGGCAGCGAG